TAAGAATTATATTTGCAAGAGACTGAGGATTAAATTTTAACTATTCCTAGAACTTTAACAAAAGCTCCATATATGGAGAGTATAATTACTTCAATTATATCGATGCTTAGTATAATACCTTTTTATATAATTGTCCAATGGTTCTTCTAATATACAGAAACATGTACTGAAATTCTTAACTGGTTTTATAACTGGTGAAAAACTCATGGTGCCATCGAAGGGATATATCCCGAAGAGATGAAAAAATTGTTTTAGATCTATAAAGAAAAAAATTCGTCCTTAAAGGATAATCAAATTTTGGATAAACCCATAACTAATTTCTCACTTGAATTCTTTTTACCTTGAATTTGGGTATGGACTCTTGCGTGTAACTTTAATCAAAATGGACATCCCAGATTAATTAGAAAATATCATGCAAGATTTTGGAATAATTATTCGCTTGATTCTAAAATTCCAATTATAGTGGAATGTCTTAAAGACATGAGAAAAGTGGAAGAGGAACCCTCAACCTCTAAAGCACTTGTTTCCAACTCCAATATAAACACTGGATTTAATCCCATTTAAATTTTTAAAGAAAAAATTCTTGAAAAAAAAAAAAAAAACCTCATTTGCCAACTAAGCAGCTTAAAAAAACAGTAATGACCGAGATGCGTCTACAAATAATGTCCACCTTTGGTATGGGCAAAACAGAGCAAATGGATCTCGTCAATATAATCCAATAGTTGTCATAAAAGGCAAAGGTAAAGAAAAAGTTGAGGAGGACGATAGGAAATCTAGTATTCCTATTGACTCTAATAACGATTTTATAAATTCTCAGGGATATACCCCTATTAAAGGTGATATTTTTATTAATAAAAATTTGCTTAATGATGATATGGAGATAAACCTCCAAGACATCGATAATGAGCTATATAATTTGATCTACAGGAAATAATCAAAGCCGAATCAGAAGAAGTGTCGCATGTCAGGACGTCGTCAGCAAATTATTGAAATTATAAATGACAAAAGTAATAACGTCACAAACAGTAAATATGACGTACTAAATGACATCAATGTAAATTATTAAAGTTGTGAGTAGTAAAAGATTATAAATAGTTTAGGTTGTGTTGAAATCCGGATTTCATATCCGGTCTCTATTTAAAAAAGTACAGGTCCAGCCTATTGGACACCCTAGAACCACTCATCTTTTATGTTTTTCTTGTAGCCTCTCTGAATCCCCCTTCATCTTACTTAGAGTCCACTATCAATCTAGTCTACTATCACTCTGTAAGCAAAGCTTGTACATATCTTCTCTTTATATTAAATAAAAACTTTTGCTGAGTAATACTTATTACATCTTTAATAATTTACATTGATATTATTTAGTACGTCATTTTTACTGTTTATGACGTCATTGCTTATGTCATTTATAATTCCAACAATTTGCTTATAACGTCCTGACGTGCGTCACTTCTTCAGATTCGACTTTATCCGATTATTTCCTGTAGATCAAATTATACAGCTCATACCACTGTCTTGGAGATTTATCTACATATCATCATTAAATAAATCCTCATTAATAGAAATATCACCTTTAACAGGGGTATATCCCTAAGAATCTATAAAATCGTCATCAGAATTAATAGGAGTACTGTATTTCCTATCATATTAGATGTTTTAACGTGTAATATTAAAACTTATGGTTACAATTTTAAGGAAGAAACAATCATAATGATTTTTACTTATAAGATATATTACAAAGTAACGAATACTTTATCCCCAGAAGCTACGTGTCATAACCTTAAAGGTTAAACAACTTTAATTGAAACAATCCATATATAAAATAATACTATATATATTAATATTTAAGAAAATAATAGTAGTAACATGTTAAACAAAAATAGTAACATAGTAAAAAAAATAGTAACATGAAACATTCAAACCCAAAAAATAATAATATTTTAAAAAAACATGTAACATATAATCCGCATGATTGTTGATAGACGAAAAAACATTAACCATAAAAAATAGTAAGCACCATTTAAATACAAAAAAAAATAGCAACATTTAAACATAAAAAAATAGTAACATTCAATATTAATATTTTTAAAAAATAACAAAAGTAACATGTTCAACAAAAACAGTAACATGTTCAACAACATGTTTTAACAAAAACAGTAACATGCTTAACAATAATTATCTCTTTCATATTTATCTATATCCATATATATGTGTGTGTGTGTGTATAGTAACATTAAATATAAAAAATAGTCAAATTCAAACGCAAAAAATAGTACCATTCAAACAAAAAAAAATAGTAACAACCACAAATAATATCAGAGACAGTGACTGCGGCTTTACCAATGAAGTGATGGAGGTTCGAAATTTCAAACTTGTTAGAGAGAGGAAGGTGAGATTGAGACTGTGAAAAGTTTCTACATAGGTCCAAAGAGAAGGCAGTCATCTTGACCAACCGTGATGCGCGATGATGGTGGTGGTGGACGCCGTATGGGGTGGATTGAATTTTTGAGGAGAGAAGTATGACATTGATGAAACAGCTTCGTCGTTGAAAATTGATGCGAAGGGCACAGTGGGGGATGGAGAAGAGAGAAGATAGCGAAGAAGCAATGGAGGAGAGAGACGAACAGAGATGGCGACGACGTCGCCACTAGCTAACTGGAGAGAGAGCTTTAATTTGAATTTTAAATTCATGATAAAAATTTTATTGACATTTTAATTGACATTGAATTAAGGAATAACAATTTCTAAGATAGGAAATTAATTTAACCTCCTTTCAAAGAAGCATATTTTTAGAATTTAAAAAAATAGTGAACTTAAGTACTTATTAGTAAAATAAAAAAACGGACTTATAACCAAATAAATTTCCTTGATGAACTCAAGTCATTATAAGTAAGAGCACTCAACTCCAATTTTCACAAAATAATAAGATGGGCATTATTATTTTAAAAAAAATGCCCCAAGGATTGACCTGGATCAGATTGCCTAGCCGAATATATCAACAGATTTTTATGCCTAGCCTGGCCTTTGCCAAGACTATTCAAAGTTTGAGCACATGTTTTTAACAAACTTATCAACATGACAAGCCCCTGATGGACCACCAAACCTAAACGGCTAGCAAGATGCTATGCAACATATGAGCTCCTCATCAGCTTCCAGAGTTCCAGCATAGTAAAGTCTATAGCTTTGTATCAAGGAGTATAATAGTGGATGAGTGAGAATTTTGACATCTTAAGTCTCTTGCTTTCAATTTGATAACAAGAAAAGCATTTTGAAGACATGTAATTGTTCCATTATGTGGTACTCCTCCATCAAAGATCCAAAAGGATAAAAGGTAGCAAAAAACTCTAATGAAGTGTTGTGAAGTACAACAAAAAACATTGAACTTCAATATTATACAGTGGAGAAAACAATCTGATCAAAAACCATACAATCTATAATATTTGGTACATGGAAAAAATTAAATTTTAAAAACAAGAAAGTTAGGGAGTTGTTTGTTTCCTGTTTTTTGTTTTTTTTTTCGTTTTTTGGAAAAATAAAAACAAAATCCTGTTTGGGATGTGTTTCTATTTTTTTTAAGATAAGTTGTTTTCAAAACAAGGCCCAAAAACAAGAAACAAAAAAAAATGTTCTAAAAAGCAAGGCAAAACAGCAACAAGGCGCGCAGAGGCTATGGGGGATAAATGAAATCCAGGCTTTGAGCTTTGTTAGCAGCAAATAATTCTTTTTTCCGTTCAAGTATAAAAACCCTATTTTCATTCTCTCTCTCCTCTCTCTGTATCAAAAGAACGATTTTGCCTCTCTCCATCGTTGCCTCTCTCTCTCTCCTCTGTCTCTCTCTCTCACAAAACCGAAAACCAGCTGCGAAGGTCTTTCTGCGACGGCTCTCCATCTCTGCTCAACCTCTTTCCAAGCCATCTCTACTCAACATCTCTCTCTTAAGTTCTCCCTCCAAAGACATTTTTCTCTCAAAGGTAATATCTAATCTATATACTATATATACATAGATATATGTATATATATGCAAAAAATATACATAGATCTAGGGTTGAAAATCTATGGTTTATTTTTACTGATCTAGGGTTCGTCTTAATCTCAATTCAACTCTTTTTTTTTTTCCAGATCTTGAGTTCAGTATCTGTGTGTGCGCTTTTGCTAGGAAGAGTGACTTGGGGCTGAAATATGTGCTTGAGGGCTGTCCTAGGTTGCAGAAATTTGAGATCAAAGATAGCCCCTTTGGAGATTCAGCTCTGCCCTCTAGTCTGCCCCATTATTTCAACACAAGATTCATCTAGATTTCATCTTGTAAAAACTTTTAATGTGGGAAAATGAATGCTGCAATTGGCTGTTATTAGCCATGGGAAGGTCCTGCATACCTTGTTGAGCAAAGCTGGTTTCAAATTCAACTGAACTGGCATTCAAAGCAGACATTTGGTATTTATTTCTTCAATGTTGTTGATCTAAGTGGGGTTGATTTGGAGATGAATCTCTCTATAAGGTGTTGGACCATCCAAGGTTGTATTGATAGCCATCTAAATTCCCTTAATATCTCGCCTTTTTCCGTTCAAGTATAAAAACTCAATTCTCATTCAATGGGACCTTTTAGTTTAATGGGTGTATTTGATGGTATGTTGAACAATAGGATTCATGTGATTCAATTATCTTGTGTCAGGTGTTATTTGATGAATTAGTGGATGTATTGAGATAAGGAATTTAAATTTGTATTTTGTATGAGGAAATATTATAAAACTAATAATTAGAATGTAACTTGAAGTGATTACCAAATATATTTTTTGTTTTTATTTTTATGATTTAGTAAACATAAATGACTCTCAAACATGTTTTATGTTTTCAATTTTTACCACAAACAAAATAAAAATTATTTCTGTTTTTTATTGTTTTGAAAACACAAAAACAAAAACGTTATTAAACAACCCCTAGGTTCTCACCATGTATTGCAAAATTTATAATATCAGGTCATACGACATGATTTATAGTATGAGTCATCCGACATGATTTGAAATTACTGCATGCACCCATAGAATATCAAACTGCCACAGAAGATACATTACCTGATAAAGGCAATATGAGATCAGCAGTGTCAGGGAGAGAATAAGTGCAATCAAGACTGACAAGTGTCTTCCTGAAGTTGAATGGAGAACTTGTAGCAGCTGGACCAATATAAATGGGATCACAGATATCACCATGATCATTGCAGCATAGCTGGTCCAGATATCAACGTTAACACCAGAGCCTGCAAAGATGGACCAAGTCTAAAGAGATGCCATCAAATTGCAATAATTAAGCAAGCATTTCTGAACTGCATTCACATGGAGGTGCCTAATAATTCAAGAAAATGAATGAATCATAGAGTGATGGAAGTTACTACAACATATAATTTTCTCCTTTTAAAAGCAGTTGTTTCTGTCATGTGTTGGTCTGGTTCGTTTAATACCTTGTTGATCATCATGGTTATAGTCTTAGAGAGATGACAAAAGAATGGTTGTGAAAATCTTGATCAGATGTTCCATCCAAGGATCAAAATTTCGTTTCGAAGTACCGTTTCGGTCAACTCAAAAATAGAAACGTTTCGGAAACATTTCGGAAACGCAATGGAAACGCAGAAAAAATATGGAAACGCATAGAAACACAAATGCAATCCATTAATTTATAAAGATATGCTAAATAATTTATTAATTCAACATATTTATTAGGTTAACATCAATTTATACAAGAATAAATTTAAATTTGAGGGAAAAAAAGGCTTGACTTGAGGCGAAAGTCACTTAAATTAGTTTCAAACACTTAATTTTTATGAAATAAACACATTTTTACATAATATTAAGGTCTTATAATACACATGAAATGCTAATGAGTACATACTTACATGGTTACATCCATTCCCCTGTGGAGTGTCGAGCAGGCTCATACATCGGTGTAGGCTCTGGGTAGCTACTTAGAGAAACTCCATATGTGACATAAATATGATGACAATAGTTACTCCAAATCATATTATTACGGTAATATAATCCAATTAATAATACTATTTTATTATAATACTAATAATGAAGGGTATCAAATTAAATTAATGATACTTATGTATACTTAAAAATTAAATGTAATTGCAGTGGGTATTAAATGTAATTACAGTAGGTATTAAATATAATTACATTAGGGTATTAAATGTAATTGTTAATACTTATAACAAAAAAAAAAGCAAAAAACTTGCACAACAGTGAGGTATTAAATATAATTATAGTATGTATTAAATATAATTATAATGGGTATTAAATATAATTATAGTAGGGTATTAAGTGTAATTATTTATTCTTATAACAAAAAAATTATAAAAGACAGAAGAGCAGTGGGAATTAAATGTAATTATAGTGGGATATTAAATATAATTATAGTGAGTATTAAATGTAATTACAGTGGATATTAAATGTAATTATAATGGGGTATTAAATGTAATTATTCATAATGAACCGAATATATCACTGTTTTGTCGAAACGGTTCGAAACAATGTCGTTTCGACCGAAACGGTCCGAAACAGTACCGTTTCGACCGAAACACTGGAATTTTGTGATTCAACTACTGTTTCGTTTCGGAGTGTTGAAATTCCGAAACGTTTCGGACGTGTCGACACGACATTTTGATCCTTGCATTCAAGTACACAAACTTTTGTAGTCATCAAAAGCAAAGGCAAAGTGGATTAAACAGATAAAAGGATAAGACTGAGAAGTACGGAAAACTAGTTGGCACAAAATTACATCAAATTTTGCAAAATCATTCTTTTCACATCCCTATGATCATGAGAATTATTTGTTTGTCTCTTGATCAGACAATAAGCAACTTATATTTCAATGCACAATCATATAAATCCAGGCTTAGATAGGGATTCATGCAAGCAAGATCCATTATAGTTATTTCCTTCAAAGCACGAAACAAAAAAATTGTATGATCTCTTCTTAGACATTACAAAGATGCTAAATACAAGAGTGTGTGTGTGTGTGCGTGCGTGTGTGTGTGTGTGTGAGAGAGAGAGAGAGAGAGAGAATTTGCTAAGCGGTTTAGAGTGAAGGAGATGAAGTGGACCTAAGTCCTCTATATCTATCTGAAACTGGTAAACCTGTCACCATCCCTGCGGTCTTATGGCTTTTCAGTTAAAATATCCTTGTAAGAGGTTTCAAACCTCGCTCGGATTGGTTCCGGTAATGTGCTGGTGTATGACATGCGAGTAAAGGAAAAAAAGCAAGAAATGGACATACCAAATAAGTCAAACCCTTTAGTATCCTTTCCATCTATGGCAACTGAATTCTCTAGGTCACACTTGCCAACAATTACACATATTCCCCATATTACTGTAAGAAGCATGACTGTTGACCCAGCTAGCAAGCCCATTCCAACTGAGACCTGACTTTGAGCAACCTCTGTACTTCCGGATAGTCCAGATACTGCAAAAATAAGAGAATCAATCAGAAAATTGTAGGGTCATACATTAAGCAAATCTAATGGTTATGGAAGGGGGAATGTAAGGAGAAGAGATTAAATAAGAAACACGCCTTATCAAAAACAAGAAATATTACTTTAAAATCCCTATCCTCTGCAGAGAGGTTGCAGCTCATCCAATCTATATTGAATGGTATGCAAACTCAACAGTGTTGTCAGCTGTCACCTTATGCTTCCAAAATCTGTGCTGAGGAAGATTAAGCAGAAGCTAAGAGACTTTATGCAGAATGGTACTAACAATTAGCAATTCTAGCTTTAATGTGGCTTGGGATGAAATAACTAAACCTAAAAAAAGAGGGAGGACTTGGGATTAAAAACTTACTGAAATGGAAGAAAGCACTTAGGATGAGGCATATCTGGAAACATTTTGCTGATAGAAATAACATAATATGGTCTCAATGGATTAATGGTTACCATTTGCAAAGTAGGAATTTTTGGGAGGTTAAGGTGAGTACTGAGTAGTTAAAAGCATTGCTAGCATCTCTAATTGGTCACCGCAGCACACTCCAGTTAGTCTAAGGCAAAAGCAGATACGACCATATCTCTGCCATGACATCTGCCACCCTATAGAACCTCTGTTTAAAAGATACAGTATCACATTTTGCAAATCTATTAGGTAATGATGCTAATTAGGTAGTGACACTGGCTACAATGTCTTCTACAATTTATAGCAGCAGATGGATGAGGGCAGGTTAAATAACTTGGACAATACTGGATATAAAAGAGGCAACCACTGAGGAGTTTGACATAAGATTAAGATGACAAGTGTCTTACCTCTATCTCAAGTTGGAAGGCAATTAAGGTCCCAAACATGAGTATTAGAGCATCTCCAACCATGACTTAAATTTTTACTCAAATTTAAATTAATATTTGAGTAAAAAGTTTGATTTGATATAAAGAACTCCAATGAACAAACTCAAATTTAAAAAAGGAGACACTCAAATTTAAATGAGGGCAGATCCAAATTTAAATGAGAGCAAACCCAAATTTACAGAGACCCAAATTTATATGAAGGCAAACCCAAATTTAAAAAGGAGTAAGGATGACCATTGGATTTTTAAAAGATGATGAAATCTCACTATAAAATATTTGAGTAAAGATTTGAGTCTCCCTTAATTTGAGTAAAAAAATGAGTTTATTTAGTATAAGTTTGAGCCAAGGGTTTGGGCAAATTTTTTAGACTCTTTTACTTAAATTTAAATTTGAGTCTAAATTTGAGTAAGAGTTGGAGATGCCCTTGTACGCACTGGATTCACTGAGTCACTACCCAAATTCTATTTTCTCATGAGTGCGAAAAGACATTTTATCAAACCCAAGACGAGTTGAAGGAAGATGGCCCAAAGGAGCATAGTGAGAAATTACCGCATGAGTAAGCTTGTGCCAAGGAAAAAGAAAATTTCCAACATCAGAAGTGAATATAAGAGTTAGAAGGAGGCGGGTAAATTGCTGAGAATGGTGACAGAGAGGACATGGAAAATAACAAAAGACAGATAGAGATGATGTATCGGTTCTTTTCTCTCCTAAGCTGGTTTAGCAAAATTTCGTCAACTAGATCAGTGTCCAATGACTCCAAACGTTTAAAATGGTGTGTTTGCTGGTATAGCAGGTAAAAGCATGTGTTGAAGTTAAGAGGAAGATCCAAATTGATATCAAACACTCAGCAATATCTTAACAAGACACCGATACAGATTGCAAAAACCATGGCCAGAGATCCGGGTATAAACTTGAACCCATTCAAAATTCAGACACACCAAATCAAGCTGATTCACAAATAAGTTCCGAACCAAAATGCAACAACAAAGATCAACGATTTGCCAAAAATACCTAAAGTACCCAGTCCATACTTCCAATTGTAATGGTCATATGGCTAGATTGCAAAACGTAATAAATATCACAACAGATCAAACCAATAATCTGCAGCTCTCAAATGTCACAACACTCAAAAGTTTTAAAAATTCAAATTATAAGCGAAGCTAAATTACATACCGAGAATGAGCATGGCGTCGGGAAGCGCACCAAGCACGGGAAGCAACAGTCCGCCAATAAGACCAGGACCGAGAATCTGCAGCAAAAGCTCACTGCCATTGGAGAGGCTCGTGGCGGCGAGGAACATGAGGTAACCGTAGACAAGGATAAGAAAGATATTGCCAACTATGGAGGTCGTACATGGCATGAGTCCGTAGGTCTGCTCGCAAGCCTCCTCCGATGTGAAGAACCGGTTGAGCCGGAGGATCTGTGGCCACCGGAAATCACCATTGACGCCGTCAGATATCAGATCTGAGGACGATGAACCGTCCGTGATCAACCTTCCGTAGGTGAGGCCACAGAGGATAAGGAGGAAGAAGAGAAAGGTTAGGGATTGATTGGGAGCCATGGTTAGTGGTCGTCACTTCTTAGGAATTTGTATACATCTGTGTGTGAGTGAGTGAGAGTGAGAGAGAGAGAGAGAGAGAAGCCGAGTCGTTGTACAGGTAGACGCGGCAGTGATTTTTGGAGAGGATGATGGTGGCTTTATTAATTCTTATATTTCCATTCGTGTCCTTAATGGTTCCCTTAAATTGCATTTCCTCATGATTGTGGGATTTTACATTTTCACTTTTTACGAGGGGTATAATGTGAAATTAATTTTTTTTAATATAAGTGTTTAGGGAATCATCGCGTTTATCTTTTACAAATATGAATTTAAGTTAACTTGAATTACGGTTATCAATTCAGAAGAGTAATCGGTATAAACATAATCACTCTGTAATAAATAAATAAATAATCCAATATTTCTAAGGCTTTGATTGCTATGTTAAACATTAATTACTCTAAAAAAGTTTAAGTTAATAGAATGGTATGTTTTTTATCTAATATTTCTCCCTCTTCTATCATATTTATTGAGTGATCTTTTGTTAAATTTAAATTTCTATATAAAAGCTCGATACTTTCATCCTATGTTAAACCACCAACTAGTAGAGAGTGGTGTAATACAATATTTATTTAATTCTTTATTTTTTATTTTTTTTCATTGTGAGGGTGAATGTGCTAGTATTATTTGAACTCAGCATATTTGAGTTCCGTTATTATGTCAAAAATCAACAAAAATTCAAGCTAATAGTGTGAGGTGTAACATATTGATTTGTATAATTATATTAAAGAGCTTAAAATGGGAACATGGTGTTTTGTAATTATTGCAATAGAATATGTGATGGATTGCATGAGTTGAACTCAAGAGTTAGGGGATTTAATGACTACATTTGAGACCATGTTTACCGTTTAACCCACTCGATCCTTTTGAATTGGCCCCTCGTTGTTTTTAATATTATGTATCATGTTCTACTCAAGGATCAAAATATCGTTTCAGTGTATTATTTCGGTCACCTAGAAAATAGAAACGTTTCAATTTATTTCGGAAACGTTTCGACTAGTTTCGAAAACAAAATGAAAAAAATAAAAAATTTAAGAATTATTTTTCTTAAATATTGATGAAAATATATCAAAATATCTTCAAATACCTTAAAACATTTTAAAATAATTGTGCAAATGCATTGAAATAAAAAAAATAATAAAAATTATAATACATTTAAAAACATTATAGAATACCTCGAAATATCAAAATTTCGATTCCATCACTGTTTCGTTTCGGTATCCTTGGAAACGGAAACATTTCGAACGTTTCGTTCATTTCAAAACGATATTTTGATCCTTAATTCTACTTTTATCATGAGATTATTATTATTCAGTGATTATTTAATAATAAAATATTAAATAGTCAAGATGAATACTGTTTTTTTTCACGTGATTAGTTATTGTTTTATATGGAGAGATTCGGTAATACAATGTCAATGACACATATATAGTATCGCCAATTAACGATACTATATCAAGTGTGTGTAATGACCCCATTATTTTATTAATTTTTAATAACCAATCATGTTAATTAACTAACACCTTGAAATAGTGGAGTTCACTTATCCTACTGCTCCGCTTGGTACAATGAAAAAATAGAAAGATAAAAAATTGAAGAGATAAATAAAAAAATCATGTTTGGTAAGACATGAAAATAAGAAGAATGAAAAAATTGACAAAATATCTTTTATTTTAACTCACAAAAATTAATCTTCCAAAATTTGACGAAAAAGAAAGCAAAATGATTCACCTTGGATAAAAATATATTATTTACTATTTTTTTAACCTTTAACTAATTACTTATTTACATTAAACACCTACATCTAAACTCAAACTCATATACCAATCGTTAGAATTATATTCTATGTTAACACTTGATGTGTATGTGTGTTTGTATATTAGTGTGTTTATTTTTATTTTTTAAATAAAAGTCAAACAAAATATGGACGTATTTTTATCTAATTTGTATTTGTTAAAACACATTACACGTATACTGATTAGTGCTTAAAATTAGCATTTTATTATGTCTTTTTGGGACTAATTGTACTTTGATGGAGTTTAAGTAACCCCTCTTTTACTTGGCGGAGTATTCTTGCTACAAAGAAATATATTGTTTCTGGTATTCGTTGGAGAGTAGAAAATGGAATGGATATTCAAATAAAAGATGATAACTGGATTCCCTGACCCAACGCGTTCAAAGTTGTAAGTCCGCTGTTAGGGGTGGAGGATGAAACCAGGGTAAGCTCCTTGATTGATCCTACTACTAAATGTTGGAACATTAACATGATCCAAAGCCATTTTCTAACTTTTGAGGTGGACATTCTGTCTATACCAATCTGTCAAGATCTCCCTGTGGATACTGGACATTTTTCTAAATCAGGATTGTTTACAATTCGAAATGCGTATCACTTGATAATGGAGAATCTTCATAAAGGAGAGCCTAGTAGTAGTGAGACTAAGTGGAGTGGAGAATTTATTTGGGCATTGAATGTTCCTAATAAAATTAAATTATTTGGAGGGTTTTTCCAGATATTCTGCCAACCAATTGTAACTTACATAGGAGAAAGATTCCAGTTGAAACTTAGTGTTATTTTTGTGGATTTCATATGGAAACATCGGTTCATTTGTTCATGTAGTGTCCTTTTTCTTTGGAAGTTTGGAAGGTTTCAGGTATTAAGCTCCCCCTGCTGGCTGCCTATTCAGTCCAAGAATGGTTAATTAATGTAGCAGAAACATTGCTTACTACTGATGTAGGTTTAGTCATGACAATATCCTGGTTGATCTGGTTTAACAAGAACAAGACATGTTTAGAGGAAGAAGTCCAATATCTAGGGAGAATTATGGATTTTGCTAAGTCTTATTTTCATCAATTCTTGGATACACAAGCAATTAAGAAGACAATTTCCAACCAGCGAACTCAATCTGATACTGGTTCTTGAACTGCGCCACCTCCAGGTATTATCAAAATTAACTTTGATGGTTCAACCTGTAAGGACTCAAACTCTTTGGGTATTGGGATAGTTATTAGAGACTATAATGGTTCTTTTGTTGCTGGTATGTGTCAACATATTGAAAAGTTGATGGCTATTGCACATGTGGAGGCTATGGCTGCCTTATCTGGACTGAAATTTGTAATGGAATTAGAATATGAAAGAGTTATGCTTGAAGGTGATTCAAAAATAGTTATGGATGCCATTAATAGGAGGGAGTATAATTTTACTGATATTGACACATTTGTGGAACATATTCAATTTCATGTATCTAATTTGTCAGAATTCCTTGTGAGGTGGAAATGTCGATTAGGAAACAATGTTGCTGATTTTTTTAGCTAAATATGTTTTGCAATATAAAGACTCTATTAGTTGGAGGAGAGATTGTCCTGAGTTCATGTATTCTCTCCTTCAACAAGATAGATTACTTATTTGATAAAATATAATCTGTCGTTTCTTATCCAAAAAAAAATAATGACATTTTAGGTCCTAAAGTGAATAAAGGCTCAAAAACAACAAATATCACACTTGAGTGTAACACCAACCCATTAGGGAACAAAATAGAAAAGGTTGGAACAAAGCAAGAACGTTTGAACGCCAACTCACGTTCGAACGTCCACTTGAACTATGAGAAGACCAGACTACTGAGACATGAAGTGTTGCAGTCAAGAAGGAAGACCCTGAAGTACTTGAGCACCACGTTCAAATGTCAACTCACGTTCGAACGTTCACTTGATTTGATTGAAGAGCAGAGTGATGAGTGCTAAGAGTCAAGATGTGCATGGAGTGTGGAAATGGGTTTTCACGTAAGACCACAGGCCACACGAGTGAGGAGGACAGACCCCATCTGGCGTTCAAACGCCCACAAATCAAAAACAACAGAAACGTTCGAACACCAAACAACATTCGAACGCCTGTAAAGGAAAAACAGAGACAACGTTTGAACGTCAAATCACGTTCGAACGTTCACCACTGGTAGGTTGCATAGTAGTTGATTTTTTACTTGGACTTGGGCGGCATACACTATTCCTTCACACTCTCTTGTCTCCCCCTCCTCCTTGCCTATAAATACTCCCATTGGGAGAGCCTTTGAAGAGGAGGATGTTCTTATAGAAGACTAGAACTTGTTTTGTAAGGCTTAAACTATACCAAGAATTAGTCAAGAACTTGATGGAGGCTTGGACTCCCACTCATGTAGTTAGATGTATGTTATATTTGTTTGTATCAAAGGAGTTAATTCATATGTTGGTTGAGGAAGCAACCCTCCATTTCATGGTTGAGGAAGCCACTCTCCAAATGTGACTAGCTTTCTTTTACTTCTATTGTTCATGTCTTTCACTTCAATTTCTTGAGCTTCCTTCTTCCTTAGAGGAATGAAACTCTTCCACTTTTCTAGAGTTTTACTAAAGCCGTGAAGGGTGGAACATGATTTACTTATTCTTTGATGAAGATTGGATCTTCGCTTATTGTACTTTATCTTGTAAGTTTTCTACTTTGAGGGATGAGTATCAGTCGCTTTTCTAGTTTTACTCAAGTCATGAAGAGTGAGTAGTTCCTCATTCACTATTTAGTAAGAGGTGATGAACATGTATTGATTATCCAGAAGTTATATTTGTGCATTTTCTTTATACTTTAATGTTTTATAGTTCACTTGCTTATTGAATGATTGATTGTATCTAGCAAAACTAAGGTACTTTGTATAACCAGGGGTTCTTTCTATGTCACGGATGACTCTTGCATGGAAAGACCCGTTGGTTCAAGGCAAGTATCCCGACTAGATTTTCATGACAACATTTCAATCTTCACAATTATTGTGTTTTATCTAAAGAATGGAACATTAATGTCATAGCTGGATGTCTTGTAGAAACACTTACCTGTTTGTAGACGGGTTAAATCTCGACATAGACAATTCTTGTAAACTTCTAGAAAGGCATCAGAATCATGTGCTTAATTCTTACAATTCATCTTTATCTTTCGATTAACTTGCTGTTGA